TTAATAGGTTCACAGGCTCATAATTTTGGAGGAAAATTGCTACCCAAATCAATGTAATTGTCTAAAATGTAATCGGAAAATATAGAAGTAGTACTAGAATTTATACTAGGTGATATCGACGTAAGTTCACAAAATTCACTTAAAAGTTCACTTAAAAATTCATTAGGCGTAAATAACTCAATCCATAGAAACACTTTATCCATTTTTGACCAGTCGAAAAAAATTACTATTTATAAAACCAAAGAAGAAAAGGGAAATATTAATATGTTTTTAGTACATAGCGAGTTTCTACATGAAGATGACTTAGTGAATGTCACTATTATTACATTATTACATTTAAACCATTTATTAATTGCATTAAATAGTTATTCCCTGATAAGGATTGAAAATCATTTCACTGTTTAAGTTGAAGAATTGAACTTCGATACGCTTCTTGAAACTCAGATTATCGGGCATTTTTGTGATAAAACTTAAGGAAATAAATTTAAAAATAAAACTTTTATTGATGTTCTGTGTGCAGTATATAATGAATATACAGAATTTCAGATAAATGCGAAAAAAAAACTATCAAATTTTCTTAATATTTATTATGTGAAAAATGATTTTCAACTAAGGTAAATTTTAAAACAAAATAAAGAAATAGATCAGATATCACATATGACATTCGCATCAGTTTATCTGAAATTCTACTTTAGTGGGAAATTGTATGCAATAACATTCAAAATCAGTCATCAGTAATCACACTTATTCTCATTGAAATTATTATATCATATTAATTTTATGTATTGTATTTTTATTTTGAAATGTACCTAAATTAATCGTTATNAATGATAAAATTGATTATTATTTATTTATTTATGCTTATTTATTCATATAACTTGTATAATTAATATTTTTAATTATAAATTTAATATGTATTATGCATTATGGGATATTATATTTAATATATAATGAAAAAAGAGTAAATGAGTGGGTCGCCTCAACAAAAAGGTTGGGAACTACTGATCTATAGCATGATAATAATTTAAATATTTTTTGATGTAAACATATATTATCATAGATTATTATCACATTTGGATATTCTTGTCGAGGCCATTAACAACAGAAAAGCATGGAGTCTGAAAAGTAACTATGTGGATATAACTGTTTGACCAAACAAAAATACATGCAAATTTAGCAGAAACTTTATTATGCTCATAAATTGTATTAATTTACAGTGGTAAAACAAAAAAATAAAGTGTAATGTAGTAATTCTTGTTTTATACATAATTCTTTACATTATGTACACAATATAATCATTTAATAATTTGTTATGATCAAATTTTGATGAAAGTCTTAAATATAAATGGATGAAAGTCTTAAATATAAATGCCTTTAAATTGTTAAAAAAGCTCTGAAAAACCACTCACAAAATATTAAAAAAAAAAAATAACTGAGGAAGAATTTAAATGATCCTCTTCTAATAGTTGTAATTCATTAAATTCAATTTTCTAACGTTACACAAATTATTAACTCAAAGTTTTTTTTTTATAAATATCCTAAATTTACAAATACCTACAATTTCATTAAAAAAAATAAATATTTTTTTGTTAATTATTTGAGTCGTATTAGAAAATTGTATTTAAAAGATTAGAGTCTTTATACAGAAGACCTTTAAGCCCTTCAAACATATTTTGTAATCTCATATTGTGTACTCTTTGTCAGAGCTTTTTTGACGTTTTTAAGTGGCTTTTTGTGAATGTAAAT